AGGTAATCTGGGAAATTTAGGTGGATGCATTTCGAATGCCAACCTATACCTATCCTCAGGTGACAGCCCTGAAGGAAGTTTTAACTTGGTAACTTTTTGTTTAAATTTTTCCTTCAAGGTCTCAGCCGCTTGATGCACAGTGGAGTCCAAGCGTGTGGGATCGTAAGTAGTTTCGAAGTAATTTTGAAAAGCTTTTATTTCTTTGGCATGAGTAAACATACCTTTCTTTGCTGGTACCTGCACATCGAAGGCATCAATTAGTTTCTGTCGAATAGTAAGCGTATCGAACATACAAGTTTGATAAAACTTAATCCACCACTCCAGAAATCCTTTGGCCGCGAGATGAGTAGGTTCGAAGGCTATCAGTTCAAATTGGGCAAAGCCCTGGTATTGTTCTTGTTGGATCTTAGCTTCCCTTGCTTTGAAAGTTCGACCAGAGGTGATGGCGCTCTCAGTCTGGAACAAAGGTTCAGGAATCAGTTGGCATAGGCCAAACTGCCTTGAAACGAAGTTTGGCTGGTAGGCAAAAAGAAGAATTTGGTTTTTAGCTGGGGTTATCCTTGAAGAGATAAGTCTAGGAAGCAAGAAAGCTCTCCACACATCTTGGATTTCCTTACTCTTGATAGCTTCTGAGAGAGCCATGGTGAACCAAGAAGGTCCATGAGCCCTCGAAGCAAAGGGCGCCATGCTCTCTTCGAATTTATGTCTTTTTGAGAGTATCAAGATGTACTTTGAAAATTGAACCTTGAAGTCGTCCTTGTCATCGTTAGGGGTTAGTCTTCGAAGCCTAGTGCCTTCGACTATCCTATCACTTATTTCTGCATCTTGTTCGTCTATGGTGTTGGCGGTTGCTAAAGAAGGTTCGAACATGGCATTGAGCCATAATTGAAGTAACCAAAATGGGCCAGCTAAAAGAATGTTTTTGGAATTGTGGGATTTAAGGCTCGAAACAGTCGACCTCAGGCTCTCATAGAGGTCAACTAAGAGTAATTCGCTTAGGCACACTTTGCGGTTTTCATGTAAATCCCTAGCTAAAGGAATGAACCTACTAGCTACCTGCAGGGATCTACTGCAGAAAACGTACCTAGACAGCCACAGAGTTAAGAAAGCAATGTGCTCTGTGTCAGACACATTATCCCCTTCAGCATGATAATGGCCGATAAATTTGGAGAAGCTGGCTAACTTGACTTCGAAGTCAATTATGCTTGAATGCTCTTCATTATCAGGAACATAAGTTTCCCCCACTGGCGTCAGCCCAGTAATGGCTGCTATATCGAAGAAAGTTGGGGTAATCATTCCACCTGGAAGATGGAAAGTGTTGTAGGTACTATCCCAGAAGTAGAGGGACGCAAATAGCAGAGGATGACTATAGGTGAATCCAGGTTTCGACAGCTTAATAAGGTTATAAATGCCTAGTTCTTCCCATTGCTGGGATTTTTTGGCTTCTACTTTCGTAAACCAGTTTTGATAAGCAACATCAGCAGTAGGGCAAGATCGGAATGGTTTAAAATTGCTTTTTACATAATCCAAGATGAATGGGTCCTTAGGATGAACAGTTGAGGTTTCTGTGGTTTTTGGGTTAAGAAACTCTGTTGCCCTAGGGGCATCCATTTTGTTGAATAAAGGTTTAAAGTTGTAACACACGGGAAAAATGGTCCTGGTGTCCTTTAGTATTTCAAAAACTGTAAGAGGGCCATTTAGGGCTAACCTCTTACCAGCAACATGGGTAGGGATGAGTACCTGTGATGCGTACAGCATTTCCTTCTCTTTGGAGATCATTTGAGGAGCAAGAGCAGATTGGCCTTGAATGGTGACGATTTTACTCTCCATAGTTGCTCCTGTAGTTTTTCCCTTCTTCTTGGAAGTTTTCTTGAGTTGAGATGATGTGGAGGAAGACATTTTTGTTGTTTGAGAACTTAGAGTGTTTAGGAGAGAAGAAGGGTAAAATTCTAGAGTTTGAAAGGTTTAGAGTGTAAAGAAGAAAAAAGGAAGGTTAAATTGACGTTTTATAATAAGAAGATGAAACATCCACCGAGTGAAAGTATGATACGTGGAGATCATGGATTGGTGTGATGAAGAGGTGGCGAGAAGTTGATATAGGTAATAGGCGTGATTTTAAAAACAATCATTACTTATAACTGCACCATGCTGTGAAGTGACTTTGGGGGGTTAAGGTACCCAAAGGGTGCTATGATTGATGTGACTAGGGTCAAACGCATTAAATGCTATGATGATTCGAAGATCCTATCAAAATCTTGTATAAATGTTTAAAATAGGTATTTCTCAGAGAGATCGAAATACATATTTTAAAGGGGCAATTTGTTGGCTGAAGATTTTGATAGTGTTATTTGGAATTCAAAAAAGAGCTAGAAGTTATGATCGAAATGGAATTAAAACACCACGTTCGAAATTGCAGAACCAGTGTTTCGAATGAGTGTGTCAAAGTTTGAAGCTTCGAACGGTAATCTTGGGAGCGTATTCAAAGGGGTCTCGAAACAGCAGTGAAGCTAAATCTGAGAAGAGCGTTCGAAGCAGAAGAACACCAAAGCATTTGAAATTTAAGTGAAAGCGGGACTTTCAAAGTTTGAAAGTTATGCGTTGGAGCATTTGAGGACACGTGGAAAGAAGAAAGGAACATTATCTTGCATGTTCGAAACGTGGCATGATCTTGTAGCGAGACCGTTAGGGTCGAATTAGTATAAATAGAAGTCTTAGTGTTAGGATTTCAGTGTGTCATATCTGTTATACAAAATACTCAATAACATTCAAACTACCACATGGCAAGGGAAACGAATGCAAGAGAGATGTATGTATGATAGCACCATGTATTTTTAATTTAATGAAAGCCTTTTTACTATTTCCAGCACTTTCCTTCTTTTTCTTTTTGTCGAGCAACATTTACAAGTTTCTTTATCTATTGTCTTTTCATTCCAAAGTCCTTTCTTCAAAGTCTTACATTTTACTGCTTTCTTTACATTTCGAAGCACTTTATGTTTCAGAGAACTTTTACGCTTTCAATATCTTTACTTTCATAGCATTATTCTTCAAACCTGTACTTTCACTTAAACTCCTTTCTAGATTTCTTGCATTAAACGCTTTCTTCATATTTTAAACTTCTACATTCCAGAAACCTTTTGTGTTAAATGTTTTATGGATCGAAATCAGTTACTTCATTTTTCATACAGTTTTCTATGTCTTTTCAATTAGCATTACAATTAGCAATCATTCGTGTAACTTAGTTTTCACATACATTTTGACCACATTCTTAAACTCTTAGAGAGAGGGATCGAAACAAACCAAACATATATACAATAGCACCCATGAATAATTGTTCGATTGTGAGAGTAACCTTGATATCCAAGGAGTCCTAGGATCAATCTAGTCGATCCTGTGAGTTACCAAAGAGATTGAGTAGCGTTAATAAAGACTATTCGATAGTTTGGAAGACTAGCGGTTGTTTTCCAGAAATCACTGGAAACACAACCCTAGTGCAGTCTTGAGCCCAATGAGATCTTGTGAGCAAATTCTTGATAAGTGAGAGGGCAAATTTTGAGGTACAACATTAGGCAACTGATTTTTCATCTGTTTTGAGTGCGCAAGGACTGATTCTGGAGACCTCAGATGATTTGTTCACTTTTTGTTTGCATTTTGGCGGCCAGGAGATTGAGTTGTGTCTCTGATTGTGGGTGGAGTGCATCATATAGTTTTCATTTTGTTTTGTTAGCTTCACTCTTTAATAATTTGAGTGTTTTATACTGAGAGGGTGATTCATAGGGGACTTTATTATTTGTGTGGTGTTATTTAATTTGCTCTTTATAGAGAAAGAAAAATCTGTATTGGTGTTATTTATCCTTTGCACCTCTTTTGCAGGGATAAATCTTTTAATAAATTTGCTTTTCCAAACAAAAAAAATCTAAAAGATGTCGGAAGAGAAATAGAAAATTAAGAGACTAAAGAATTAAATTTTCAAAATGAAAGAAAGAGTACATATTGAAAGACATTATTGTATTAGTGATTTAGAGAGAAGATTTAGTAAATATCAGATAATGTTTAAAAGTTAATTTTTTTTGGAGGATTTTGGAGAGAAGAATTTTATAGAGTTGCGTTTATACTTGAATATGTATCTAATATTATATTAACATATAAAACAAATGATTATTTTTTAAAATTTAAAAAAAATCAAACATTCAAGATATAGACACAACCTTTAAAAGTCTTCTCCTCCAAAATTCTTTAAAAATCATCTTTCAAATAACCTTTAAATGAAATTAGGTAAACATAAAAAAAATCCTTTATGTGAAATGGATGACCAATGAAATAACATTAAAGAAAATTCTCTCTCTCTCATAGGTTTTGGTTTTGGTTTTGGTTCAGATGGATTTGAGTTACACCATCGAATTCTTATGCAAGCTACTCGAATTTGGGTTGGTCTGATTCTATCATTTTTTTTTTTGTTTTTCACGACCACGTAACAAAAATTCTACTTATATAAAAAACCATTTTTTGAACAAATCAATCTTTAAATGCTGCATCAAATAGTAATTTAGAAAGCGCATCAGAAAAATCAATGTGAGAAAGGTAAAACGCGGATATACCAAATGTGCCAGCTATCATATTACTTAACTTGCTTGCAACACACAGAAAATATTTATTGAAAAAAGAAAATGTTTATTGAAAAAAATTCAAAATAATAAAATAAAAAGAATATCTTGCAACAACTAAGAAAAAGTAGTATTTAATTTTATTTGATTCATTATTTGACCCGGGACAGTGTGCGATGTGAATTTTATTCATTAATAATGGGTCAATAAAATTAAATAATATTCTTCCTTATTTGTTAAAAGATTTTTTTCTTTTTTGTTTGAATTTTTTTTAACATATATTTTGAAAAAACATTATTCATCATATATAGTGTACACTACTCCACACTATATATACACTAGTTATGCAAATGAACAATATTCAAATCATATAAAGTGTTTGTAAAATATTCTTCATTATCAAAAGAACATGGATTGTTTTGTTGCAATCAAAGTGTTTGTTATATTGGGGCTTTTGGCTACTTCATGCATGGCACAAGAAGCTCCTGCACCTGCACCCACACAATCATTATCACCCAATTCAGCACCAGCTCCATCACCAACACCTTCTCCTGCAACCACTTCTTCTCCACCAGCACCAGACTCAAACGGCCCAACATCAGGCCCAGGAGGGGATGCACCGGAACAGCCAGAAGGAGATGAGACACCCTCTGTTGCATTCTCTATCACTAACACCTTCGTTGCCGTTACTTCTCTTGCGGGAATCCTCGTCTCCATTGTTTTAGCTTAGATGGGTCTAAAAATCATTTTTATTTTATTTTATTGAATTCTTACTTTAATTTGCTAGGAATTCAATTTATTCATTTACTTACATGCAACTTAGTTACTATTGATTTTGTTAATGTTTTCAAGTCAAAGATTTCAATAAAATAAAGAAAGGAATTCTTACTTTAATGATTTTGTTAATCGAATAAGATTGGGTTTGAACCCTTTGATTAATAATGTCAAATGCATACCATTGTAATTGAATTGAGGATTTATGAATCTTACTAGTATTTATATTTAGAACGTATGGTATACGGTAAATTATTATTTTAATATATTATTAATATTAAACTAGAATAAAATATATAATAATTAATTATACTTGTAAATAAATTTTTATATGATACAGCCACTAAAAAAGAAATCAATTTTATAATATAATTTTGACATGTTATATTCTAATATTCATATAGCAACTAGGGGCGGCAAATGGGTATGTCCGTCCCGTTTAGATCTGTCCTACAAAAACTGATAAAAAATAGAGTAAAACGGGACGGGCATAGTTGAGGATGAGTGCCTAAAATCTAGGTCCGTTCCATAAAAAAATGAGTGCGAAACGGGGAAAGCCCGCAGGCACTGCACCTTTTAGGCCGCACTAAAGTGCGGGTAAAACGGGTATGTCCAACGAGTCGGATCCGTTTTGCCACCCCTAATCACAACGTGTACATCCAAGATTTACGTCTCGAATCACTCTAAAAAACGTCTTCCCTTCTTGGGCCTTATGCTTGATGGACTTATGTACATTTGAGACCTATGTTTCGGATCACTCTAAAATATGTATGTTCGAGACCTACGTCTCAGATCACTCTTAAAGCGCCTTATCTTTCTCAGGCCTCACGCTTGAGGGGCTTATGTACATTCGAGACCTATGTCTCGGATTGTCTAAAGACATCTCGCCTAATATAGGGGAACGTCCAAAGGAAGAGGCCCCGGAACAAGCAAGTGTCCACCATTAAGAACCAGAAGACACCCTCATTTACTATGATTCATGTTCATCATGATCTCCACACGACAAGGAGGCAAGAACAGTGAAGAGCTTTGAATGCTAGATCATTCCATATCAAGCCCAACACTATAAGAGAAGTAGTCAAGGCACCGATAAAGGTGATCAATCTCAAACACACAATACACAAGACATATTGCGGCTTCTCCCGACCAGCATCAGGGAGGTCATCACATTGTTCTTCAAGAACAGTTGGAACCTACCGTGAGGTCTGGTAAAAAGCTCTCAGGTCACCACACAAAATTGTGAATAGACGGACTAAAAGCAGGGCTAGCAGTAACGTTCAGGAATTCCAAGCCATGAAATAACTGGTCGTTGTTGTAGAGCTCTTATGTCTGCAAAATGAACACTTACAGAATACGATAAATGATCTGCAATAACAGCATCCCCTACCTCAGCCTGACGACGAGGATCCTAACGATCCAATTGACAAGTAACCGTTGTCCGAGGAGATTTGAAATAATGAGGTCTCGTAGAACTTCAAGCCATTGAAACACTGATGTTAGTAGTTGCACCAGAGTCTAACCACCAAGTATTTTCAGGTACTAAAGCTAAATTGACTTCAGAACAAACCAAACCATGATTCGTGCGATTTTCTCCAGTAAGAACTAGAACTGAATTAAGATTAACAGATATTGAAGCAATTGTAGTTGAAAACAAGAACAAAATTAAACATTTTAAATATACTCACATTAAAAAAAATTGAATTATCAATTTGTTCAAATAATGACATAACCCATCTCAAGATACCTAGTGCACCATCAATATTGAGTTGTTGGACACTAATATTAACGATTAGTGGTACTCTTGTTGTAACGATCAAACATTGATGATAAAAACATATCGAATATAAACTCCTCTTTCGATTGATTTATTATTCACATGTAAGGCCTTATAATTATCACATGTTTAAAATCACAGGCGCACATAAAAACCGGTTAACCACCGATTATCTTTTAGTTCAATTGATATTCACATGGAGAAACATACGCACAACCAGAAAATTTAACATTTCTCATTAGTAATCTCTAGAAGAAGAAAAAAAGTCACTTTCGTGACATTTTATTTTAATTAAATCATAGAAAAAATGTTTAATTTTGTATACAAATACAAATTGTAGCCAATACTTAAACAAAAATTATATCAAAATTTATTTTATCTGATTTATTATATGAGGTACAACAAAACTATAACTGAATAATATATTGTTGAATTTACAAATATCAAAAAACTTAAAGAAAAATGATACTCGGGTTATTAAAATATAACATGATATTAACTATCATTATTTTATTTAATAAAAAAACTTGAGGTATCGCTTATTTATACACAATATGAATATTGTGTTTAACCAATTTTCATGGAGGCTCTCAACAGGATATGTTTCAAAAAAATAGTTACAGGATATGTTTTAATATATCCCATATGGAGGGGAGCCATCTCAAGTTGTATAGGCATCCAAAGAATGGTACTGCCATTAAAGATATTGCACATGTAACAGTATTATCACCGGTACTTAAAAAAAAACAGGAAGATCAAAAGAAAAAACTCAATTTTAAATAATAAGGATTTCAAATTTCTTTTTTTATTATTAAAATCAAATTGAATTAGGTATAGGAGGCTCTGATATGGCTTGTTAGATCTATTCATAAATTTTATAATTTCTATTAATATAAAAATTAAGACAAGAATTCTGAATAAATTTCTTAAACTCATATTCGAATATAATTATGAGAATGAAAGCGAAAACATATCTAAATTTATCATTGAGAATCACCGACGATTTACGGACATTTGAATATTCCAATTTGTAGAGTCTTTATGATTCTTTGATACTCCTTTAATAAGGATGAAGAGAAAAATCATAATAAATTGTCTATAAATATGGTCCTAATTAAATAATGGTCCTAACGCATGTAACGTTACACTTGTGACTTAGATATTTTACGTTGTCTATAAATATGTTAAGTTTGTGACCTAGACAAACTTGTGGAAATTTACAAGGTAAGATGTGTTTTTATCAGTAGTATAGTAATAATAGTTACCCTGTTACTATCTTGAGTATATCAATTTTAAGTGACTTTGTTTCAAGATACCAAATGGATAAATTTGAGATTAAACACTTTAAGCTTGTATAGTTTTTGTCCTATTTTCTCTAAAAAGGACTTATAATGAAAATTTAAAATAATGAGTTAAGCTTATCAGCTTAAGTTTCAACAAGAAAATGGAACTATGTAAGCTATTTTTTATTCTTAATTTGGCATAATAAGTTCAATCTGTTTACACTTTCAATTTTATGTATTTCATCCCTTTTACTTTTATATATTTCATCCCTTTTAGTATACCATTCAGTAAATGGACTTGCATATCAAGATTTTTAGGATAATGTTCTCAGCTTTGGCTTTGTGCTTTTTGCTGAGCAAAAACTTTTATAGTTTAAATTGAAGTTAAAGGAAATCAATCAAAGAAGATAGCTTGAATCGAGGTTCCAAATCATATTATAATTTACATTTAAATCATATCAACCAAAATATTTATCTTAAAAGAAAGTTAGTATGCAAAATAAGACAATATGAACACCCTCATCTCTTGGGTCCTACAATTAGACTCCTACTTTCAACTAGAGCTTCCTATTGCAGTAACACCTTTTTATTTTTTAGAAATGGAAAAAGTCAATTATTTATGTAACTTTTCTTTAAAAACTTCTGGTACTGAAGTAACTTTCATGATGTAATTAAGTCGATTGTAACTTCTTGGTGCTAGAGTTTTCTCTCATGAGGTAATAAAGTCCTTCATTCTAAGTTTTGTTCTCATACTAATAAGATATTACATAAGAATTGATATGTTGAAAAGTTGAGTATGATTTATTTCATTCTTGGAATGTTTAATATTTTGTATTTAGTATAATATTTATTTTGGCCATTATGAATTTTCTCAATTGTATCAGCATAATTTTTATTTACGTATACGGAGGTTTTCGACCTCCAAAATAAAATCTCCTACTATTTAAATAAGATATCAGTGGTAATCTAAAATCCCCACAGCTATATTATGGGGATTGTATAAACGTCGGTTTTTAAAAACTCCCATAAAATATTTTGTAGGGGTTGAAAACCCCCCTAAAATAGGTTAAAACCCCCTTGTAATCTAGCATGCAACATAATATTGAGATCACACCGTCTCAATTAGATAATTCTTAGAGACTATCAAAGATAATAAAAGAGATTTCAGATATTTGCAAATTTATTAAATTAAAACATAAACTAGGACTAGCTTATATATAATTTCTAAGAGTTATGTTATAGAACTTTTGAAGGCAGATAATTGATGTGAGACATAACTGTACCATAATTGCGGTGCTCCAAATATAATTTTACGGTAATTTCAATTTATATTCGTTGTTCTCATGCTTTAATATAAAGATTTCACTTTTGTATTAACTTTTAATCAGATTTATGCATGAGATGCGTGTTGAAAGGAAATTAAGAAAATATTGTTTATTAGATTCTTTGAACATACAAAACAAGTTGATTGACGAGAATAAATAATGTTACTTGGGACCATTTTATCATGTGTAAGCATATATTAATTTGTATTTTCATTTAAGTCAATTTTATACACATTATCAATTATTCTGAATGTTTATGTAGTTCGCATTGTCAATTAGTTATTAAATGTCCGAAGAAAAATATTGTAGTTATATTATGCTCATTACACTATAAACTTAATGAAGATATGAATAATACTTTGAGCGTGTAAGTGATATTATTTTATTTGTAATACTCAAATTTTACCTTTAGTTTTGAATAGTTTTTACTCATGTTTAATTTTTACCGATATGTAGAGCTATGGAAGGATACAATTTTGTGAAATGTGATCATCTTGGTAGAAAGCCAAGTTCATTTTTCCAAAATTAAGTATTACTTGTGCTTTTTGATATTATTTTATT